CATGGAAGACGGAGCAAAGTTTTAACTCACCCCGAAAACCGGCACTTAACAAGCTGGCCTCCCGAATAGCGTTTGTTCATCTTCGTCACGGAGGCGAAGAAGGCGAGCAGTCTTTTCAATCCTACTCAGAGACAAGAGGAACGTCCCCACTCCACCCTGGCTATCACGACATCCTCTCCGAGATCGCGACGCCCTATCCGTCCAGCACTAAAACATTCAGCCAGCTGGAGCCGCGCCACCGATCCGGAGGTCGTCAGCCCTGAGTTACCCGCTCACCCGGAGGTTGTTGACCTCGAGCCGCGTGACGTTGGCGGTGACGTTCTGCTCGAGCAGTGTGTGCGGCATGCCCTGCACCATGCGGCGCAGTGTGTAGCCGGTCAGGTGGCCGTTGTGGTGCTCCGGCGGCGCCCACAGCACCGTCACCGAGCGGTCCGTCACATCCTCGAACCGCATGTTGGCCACCGGCCCCGGCACTGCGGTACATGGCCGGCATCGGCGTCAGCAACGGCGACAGCATAGGCGTGTCAGGACTAGCAAACGTCCCGGTCAGGACTGGCACACGTCCCGTGTCAGGACATGTCCCTTGTCAGGACCGACCACGTCCCTTTTGAGCCCACTTCGCCCAGCATCAGCGTCAGACACCTTGACGGCATCAGTGTTAATATCAGCGCCAGCAGCGCCACCTGATGGCGCTGTTGGCGTTGATAAATAGCTGATAGCTGGCGATTAAGTCACAAGTACCTTAATCGAGCGGCGTGAGCGCGGAGCGGAACCCTTCTCTAGTCAACCATGCATCAAATATGAATCAAGCGTACCCTCATCACCCGAGTGAAACAAATATCACACGATTACCAAAAAAAACGTCACGCAAATACGAGTGATTAACAAACAAACACGAGTAGATTACGAGAAACACCACCGCATTTTTTAATGAATCACCACAGCAACTGACTGTTCAGTTGAAGCTAGCATGTAACCCATCTGATCCGTAATCGCTATCAATTAGCACATGTAAAAACTGGTTTCACCGCAATATCATCACCTATGAAACCCTCATCAAGTTCGGAATTCCGGATAATTGGAACCCCGCCACGCCATGTGACTGACATCCTTGGCCAGTCCTGAATGCGTGCATGCATGAATGAGCCTTGTGGTGGCAATTATAAGGCACATTGACACTGGCCCTGCTGTGAGCGTTTTCGTCTACGTGGTTTGACACGCCTTTTACGCCAGGCGCCTTTCACGTCGGCCATGCCTTTTTAGTGCATTTTAGTTGGATTCTGTGTCGCTTTTTGCTTGATTTCATTTCTTAGCAGTGGGACGAGTAGGCTGCTATTTCGGCTCCAACCGTTGTTTAAGGACCATACTCCACACAAATGATGACGAAAAATGTCCAGCCCTCGGGAAGGGGAAAGTGCGCAGTCTACAGCAAATGTGACCACGAGACAAATCGGCGCCGAGCCCCCGCGGAAGACACGAGAGACCGAGCGGCACAAGCTCTAGGGAGCTCCCAGACCACAGGAGCCGCACTTCTACGGTGACTAACCGTCCTCCAGCGTTTGCACGGCGACAGGGCCACTCCTAGCGCCATCTCCCGGCGAAGTGAAGCATAACACAGTGATGTTGTAGGCTGTGTAGCGGGCGAGGCCCTCGAGCAGCGCCGTCTGGCGCGCCAGCGGGTCCAGCGGAGAGGGCGCCACCGTCAGCGTCACACTCGGCTCGTCCAAGAAGGCGGGGTCACCTGCCGTATGGGTGTGGTTAGGGATTTACGGCACACTCAACAGCGCGGGCCATGCGGCATCGCTCTCTAGCTCATCTTGGCCGGAAGGGCGAGCACCGCGGGGAATCGAGGGACTGCCTGGGGCAGGAGACGAGGGGACGGGCGGAGGAGGAGCGCTAGAGCGCGGAGTGAGACATGCAATGGGAGTACCACATGCCCCAGTGCAAGGAAAAGCTCCGACCCATGTTTGAAGGCGGACAGGATGGCAGCGTAAGATGGCCGTAGGTCCTCACGAACGGTTGGACCACTCCACTAAACGAAACTAATTCTCGAAGCGAGGTCACCGGGGGAATCCCGTGAAATCATAATGAAGTTAAGGATAAATAAAAGTCCAATAACAGATTTGGAGTCAGTTGATGATACCAAAAATTGGCAACATTTATGTGAAATGCATCGTGCTTTATTCAAATAACTTTATGCTCAAAATTCAAGCTCTAGCAAAATCCAGCAAAGTCATTACAAACTCGAAAAGGTCGGTAGACGAAGCTTCTTTTCAACCAGACCGGGGCTTTTGTTTGGTTCTGGCGTTTGACCATATAACGCTCAACTCTCCCAGTTTTCCCCGCCGGTTCCTTGTCTCACCTTTCCAGGCTTGCAGCTTGTAGCCCTGATTGATGCCGTTGATCTTCTGCGGGTCGGGCGGCACCCAGCTGACCTTGACAGAGGTCGAGGTGACCGGTTCAGCGCTCAGCTCAGTAGGCGCCGCCTCCGGCACTGGCGAATAAGCACAGGTCAGCACCAGGAAGAGCGCAGGGGGGGGGGGGGGGTCTCGAAAGGACGAGAGGCGGCTGATGGAAGCTTCTCCTGTTAAAATGGAACATCGCTGATAGAACTACAGAGGGGCGGAACATATTTTGCACAAAAACAGCACTTGTGGAGATAATGAGGGTAATGAGAACCTCCCAATTATGCATCGAGGCCTACCTTGCGAATCATTAAACTTGAGGTACAGCTTGACAGCGAGACATAGAGACGGTCAGCGGTCAGCCGCCCAACAGCGAGACGGTCGGCGGTCAGTCGTCCCACAGCGAGACGGTCAGCGGTCAGCCGTCCCACAGCGAGACGGTCAGCTGCCAGCTGTCCGACAGCGAGACGATCCAGATCCCGCATCCACGGCTCGGGATCCACCCGCGACTCCGCATCTCAGCCCACTCACCTCCCTCGCGCGTCTTTACGGTGATGGAGCTGCTGAAGACGCCGGTGCCCTTGCTGTTATAGGCCGCCACCTGGATGTCGTAATCCTTCCACGTGATTAGGTCCTGGATTAGGTAATTCCGCTGAGCCTGTGGTGGAGAGAGGGGAAGGGGACGTCAGGAATGTGCTGGACTCGGCGCAGAAGAGTCCTGTCCCTTTCAGCGCATCGAGATGTGTTTTCACGGAGAAAACAGCGCTCGAAAGTGATTGGCGAAAGCAAGTTTTTTGTAGCAGCACTTACACAAGGAATGAAACTTGGGAACGGAATAAGCATCAATATTCTGTTTGAGGCGCTGTTGTTAACCAAATGACCCAAATACGGCTGTGAATACTCCCTGGCTGAATCAGCTTCTATCACTCCCTACCAATTTTGCCGCCTGCCTGTCAACGTCTGGCTCATAGGAAGCCCGCGTCCCTGACCTCGTTGGTGATGTTGCGGTTGCTCCAGGGAGCGTTGGTGTATCCGTGCAGCCGATATCGCAGGATGTAGCCCAGCACCTGGCCGTTCCTATGCTCGTCCCTCGGCGCCTGCCACTGGGTCATGATCTCAGCGCTGCTGCGCGCCGACCCGACCAAGCCCTGCGGCGGCCCCGACGGCGCTGGCGACAGGTGGCAGGTCAAGGTCATCGCTGGGGTGCCGGTGACAGGGTGGTTAGGCCGCGCGTCTGGGCAACCAGACATACTGGGTTCGATTCCCCGCGGTGCCCGCACTTCTTGTCAGGATGAGAGGCACGCGACACCATAAAGCCTCAGCTACTGCGTGCTTTGTAAATCCCCGATGACAACACAAGGTCTGGGCTACACTGACCGGCCCCAACCGAAAAAGTACGGGAGCCAGACCATGGCTTCGCTCCTCTATATTTCTCACATTTTTAAGGAGTAGAAAACATTTTTTATTGTGTTCGACATGGTGCTACCCATCGGATCGAATGCAAGCGAATGACGTCATTGATTTTGAAAGTGCGTCACCCGCCTGCGCTTGCGTGAATGACTTTTCATCGAACCACGGCTAGAATGCCAGCCACAAACCAAACGCATCGACCCTCCTGCCGATAGATGTCAGCACTGACCCTCCTGCGGCAGCAGCACGATATTGCTGGGTCGACTGGTGCTGCCTTCACCGACGCCATTGACGGCCGACAGACGGAACTGGTAGGCGGCCGACGCCGTCAGGCCAGTTAGTGTGACGTCACGGGCGTCAGCTGACACGTTGGCCATCTCGGTCGTCCAGGTGTTGCCCAGCTCGGGCGCCGTGCCCGTTACCATGCCTGCGGGCAACGGAGTCAGTCAGGAGACGGAGGGGCTTACTTGTCCGGCAGTGGAAGCCTTCGCAGCACACTAACATGACAGGGTTATAGGATTAAGTGCAGATCTGATGCCTGCCACACATAACCGAATAGTCCAGCATGTTCGTCTTGGCCCACAACGACCCTATCTCTCAGCAACAGACCACATGGCGACGGGTGATAAAAGCGAACCTTAAAATGCCAGATTTATTTCAGAGGCTAAACTCAGTGCTGGACAGCGCCGCCGCCGTCCATCACCTCTTCTTATCGGTCACCGGACATGTCTGCCACCCCACTATCCCCTCCCCAGCCCAAGAGCCGTCGACACCACTCACTACTGATGGGCACCCGTCGGCTCTGCACGATGAACTTGAGCAGTGGCGAGTTGCCGTCGAAGCCGGCCGTCCATGTGACCCGCACGGCCTTCTGCAGCGAGGCCACCTTCTGGGCGCGCACGTTGGTGGGCGGGTATGGCAGCTCCACCACCACCAGCTCGGCCGCGCGCGACGCGTTACCGCCCGAAGAGACCACCTGGCGGCCAACGGGGTCAGAGATCAGAGGGCGGGGAGGGCAGAGGCAAAGGACGGAGATCTCGAAGGTCAGAGAACACGGAGTGCAGAGGTCAAAGACGGGGTCAAAGACACAGAGATCGGTGTTGAATCGTTTAACCTCTGCGCTAAGAGATCTAACAAAAAGAGTTGGATCAGGCTTCCACGAGACAGGAAAATACATCCAGTGTTGCGCGCCCTACGCTTCAGTGGCCGCAGCCCAGACTTCTCATAGCGAAACCAGAGGTTAATCACGCTTTGGTTTTCATTAACTGATGTGTTCCACCCACTGGGATTCCTGCGTGGTGCCTTGCTAACAAAGCTGAAAGTTAGTTGTGCAGTAGCGCATTGACCTCCATCACATGTGCATGCCATCATCTGCTCGCACACAACGCGGATAACCCTCGGTTGACGAGTCACATCAAACCATTGTCACACGTGGGCCTGCCATCCTTGACGCGTCCCGCAACTCACCCCACCCTAGACGTGCCTCATGTGCCACCACCCCGCACCTCACCCCACCTCAGACGTACCTCACGTGGCACCACCTGCACGCGTTGTGCCACGCACCGTCTGTCACATGGTCTACCCGTACACACACACCTCGCACCTACCTTCCCCCCTCCTCTCACACACACACACACGTGGCGCACGTGACGCTCACCCCACATCACGTCCCTCCACACGCGGCACCTGCGGCGCACGTGGCACTTACCTCGCACGTGTAGCGGCCGACGTCTGCGGCGCGAACCTCGCGGATCTGCAGTGTGCCGTCAGGCAGCATGCGAATTCGCGACGACGCTGTCAGCTTGCGACCGTCGTGTGACCACGTGACCTGTGCCGTCACGCCCGGCGACGACGACGTGCCGCACTGCAGGCTGGCCACGTGACCCAGGATGACTTTTGAGTCGACCGGCGGCTGGATGATCTGTGTGCGCACTGCGGGGAGGGAGGGCGGGGGTAGTGGTCAGATGCTGTGTTCAGCAGCGGCCTTGGGAGGCTTGGAGTGGACGTGAGTGGCGAGCTGCGCCGCCCGGGCCCCGCTGGGACCTGGTGACGATCTATGTGAGGGGATGACACGTGTGGTCGGTGATAGCTATGGATGGGGCCGACAGCCAGTGTACACCCGACGTATATTGACGCTGTTCTGCGCGGCGTGTAATACTTGGAATCGTACACACACACGCCGTGTCAGGACTGGTACACGTCCCATGTCAAAACTGGAGTCCGTGTCAGGCCTGACTAACCCATGATGCTGAGGACGGCCGAGGCGGACACCTGGCCCACGTCATTCTGGCGTTGGCACGTGTAGAGGCCGCTGTTCTCGGGCCGCACGCCGGTGATGAGGAGGTCGCCAGTCTCCAGCACTTGAACCCGGCCGCCGCCCGTGTCCTCCAGCAGCTTGCCTGCGGAGCACACCAGCAGGACACTGTCACACTGTCTGCTCCACGGGCTGATTAGGGGTGGGAGGGATGATGATGTGACGGTTACACGCGAAAGGCGGTGACCATACACCAGTTGTAGTTGGAAAGACGGACAGGCGGAGGGACTGAAATCATTATTTCGTGCAGAGCAGACGTTCATGAAAAAATAGGTACCTTGCTACGAGTACCACAAATCTTACCCTTGTGCATAGTAGTCGCTAAATTTCGTACATTTCTGCAATCACGATTGTTTTTATATAGCACGCCGGCTACTTACACCATTTGCCATCTTTACAACCAGAATGGATTCACACCGGGGTGTCAGCGAGAAAGAAAGGTAAAAGAGAAAATAATATTTTCACCGACGCCTTATTACAGGTCTATAAGTATATAAAAAACTTTTTTTGTACGAAAGTGCTTCATTATGCCCTCACAAATGCCTACACATCCACAACATGTCTACAGAAATGCTGTTGGGAAATGTCACCAAAGGAAAAACATTCAATGAAATCCCGCTATGAGAAATGCCGACGAACTCGCAGCTTCGAGCTAAGTCGAGTCGAGTCGAGTCGAGCCGAGCCGTACCGGGGGAGGGAGGGGGCAGGCTTACCGTTGAAGAGCCACTGTGTGTCGGGCGGGGGCGCGCCCTCGGCCCGACACGTCAGGGTGGCGTCCTGGCCATCCAGCACCGTCACGTTCTCCGGCGGCTGCAGCATCACCGGGCTGGAGGCTGGGACCGGCACAGCTCAGGTCAGGCCACAGTTGGGTCAGTACAGGTCAGCTCACATCGGCGGTGTCAGGTACGCGTGTCTCAGCGCAGCACAGCTCAGGGGACAGCGGGGGTCAGCTCAGGTCATCAGAGTCTGAACAGGTCTCCACCAGCTCAAGTCATTAGTATGGCCAAGTCTCCGACAGCTCAGCTCATCAGAGTCTAGCCAGGTCTCCGACAGCTCAGGTCATCAGAGTCTGAACAGGTCTCCGACAGCTCAGGTCATCAGAAAGTGGCTAGGTCTCCGCCAGCTCAGGTACATCAGAGTCTGGCCAGTTCTCCGCCAGTTCAGATCATCAGGGTCTGGACAGGTCTCCGACAGCTCAGGTCATGAGAGTCTTGCCAGGTCTCCGACAACTACGGTAAGGTCATCAAATAATTGTGACAGGTCAACATAGGTCGGCGCGTCGCTGACACAAGGAGAGATAGCGAGAGAAAAATGTCGTCACACAAGAAGCTGCAACCGACTGCGCAGATTCATGCCAAGATTCATTAGGGGTCAGAGCCCGTGCTAAGCATAGCTTGTATGAAAGCACGCCGACCCCCATATCAGTGAAGGACTGCTAGTTTTACTGACAACGCACAAAGTGTGCTGGGGACTTTGACGTGCTAATAACAGAACGCCTATCTTATGTTTGGGGTTACAACTTTTCTATGGCCATAAGATGATGGCCATACCTTAATTAACGCAATATAATGCGCGTGAATACATTGCATAGATACATGTGAGGACATCAAGCACAATCCATTGCCACAGTCATCATCCCGCAATATTATCATTTGGACTTTTATACAACGACGAAATTTACTAAAGCTTTATCAAAAGCCCGCAAAAAAGTAGGCTGCAACAATAGGAAACATTAAAACCAACACCAACCAGCAGCTACGCCACCAATAACATTGCACATCTTTTGATTCTATCTGGACAGACATCGGTTAAAGAAAAGTGCGAATATGGTGGTGGAGACTGCGAACAAAAGACATATGGTAATGTTGAGTGTGAATAACAATAAAGAGGCGAACAAGAAAACAATTACGCTCAGTTTACACACGCATGTGCAAGCCTGAAACAAACGCTGGCCACTACGGCAGTCGTGCACCACAGCGGAGAACTATACGCAGGGCCCGCCGCAGCCAACGAGCAGACAATGTATCCATTGCCGCAACATGCGTTATCATGCATTGCAAATCACCGTCAGCAGTGCCTTGTGGATGTGTCACTGCACTGCTCGCAACACGCAACAGAGTTCAACATCTTCAGTCCCGCCACCTGGTGCACTGGTGCATCACGCGTGATTAGGGGGGGGAGGGGGGTGGGGGCGGGGGACATGTCTTACGCGCCGTCGCCTGTCTTCTGCTCAGCTGAGCGCGCCGCTTGGACGCCACCATACGAGACCGCAGCCGACCCAGCACGACAGCTGGGCGGCAGAGGTTACAGATCAGATGTCAGAGGTCAACCATGGATCGGAGGTCAGCCAGAGGTCAGAGATCGGCTCGGGGAAGTTGTAGGGGGCGGGGGCAGAGGCTGATCCAGGATCCACGTTATGGGGAGGGGAGGAGAGGGCGTTGCTTTTTGAGCCATTACCCTGCTTGAAACTTACTTGTTACTTGAAACTTATTACTTGAAACCGAGGCTGACGTTATCGGGGAGCGCATACGTCACGTGACGGGTGTCCTCCGCTTTACGACAGCATAAGTTAGCTTTTGTAGGAGAGAAAACCATGGGTGAGAGGGAGGAAATGAAGGAGTTTATGTGGAGACTTAGAGCACAGAGCAGACGAAACCTCTCGTGAATAATGTGGGCAACACTTGCAGGACTCCTGGATCCGCCTCCAGCGTGTTAGTAGCCTAGTAAATGTACCCTCACCACGTTACCGATTAGTACATTCATGCTTAGCGCAATCAGTTCATGTACGCTTCGTGTTATGCTTGAGAAGCTGAATCGCAAGATATAGTTGTAGCGGGACAGTCACCAGACACACGTGGGTTAATTAGATGCACTGGCGACCATACACCTTCAGCCACTGCCGAACCACCAGACACGAAAGACATCAGCACGAAGGTAGATTGTGAAGATGAAGAGTTCACGTACAACGGCAACGACAAGAACGCGAGCGAAGACAGCCACGCATAATTCCTGTAGTCAGGGGCCTGTGACGTCATCAGAAGGTTTCTTAACGATAGCCAGCACTGATCTCCTGGTCGTTGCATGTCATGTCACGATCGGCAACGAACGGCGCGTGGTACGACTAATGCAACACCGAGGTTGCCGCGCCGGACGCGTCGGCCACCGGGCCGGCACTCACACTTGACTCTCAGCCAGGTGTAGCTGGTGGCCTCGCCCGCCTGGTTGGTCGCGATGCACTGGTACATGCCCGTGTCGGACACCTTGAGGTTGCGGATCACCAGGCTGCCGTTCGTTGTCGTCGTGTACCTGCCGCAGCGGCAGCGGAACAAAAGTCACGACCGGACGCTGACACGTCGGAGGGGGGGGGGGGGGGGTGTGAGGGTGGGGCAGGCCCCGGTCGGAGCGCTCAGGTCTGCGTATGGATGACCTCGGCAGGCCACGTTTGGCGTGGGCGTCGGCACAGGGTGGCGGCTGCTTCAACGTGTTCGCTTTTACTCTCACTATAGCTGAAGTTGGCAGACAACAGGCACTGTCTGCTCCCCTGCTGTTTGCAAAGTAGACACCGTATTAACCTGCACCTGAATGTAAATTCGTGGGGGTGCACGCTACCCAGCATTCATTCATAGACACGTCTGTAGCCTTATTGGTCCAGGAATGGTGGCGTTCGTGCGCGCTCTTTGAACACCGACAACACAGGTCTCAGGAAACCTTTGGAGAAGTCAAAACATCAGCAAAGGTCACTGCATTGCTGCAAACGCGTAACCACGCTGGTTCCGAGCAAACATTGCATACTTTAACTTAAAATTGCACTTGTAAAAATGCTTAATATACAGAATCGAATGAATGCGTCCAAAGGATAAACGCCCAAGCAGATAAACAAACAAACAAGCCGGAACAAACACGCCATGTCAACCACACAACACAAATCCCGATATCAGACAACTAAACCAACCAAAATCCCAACAGCCAATCGAAAGCCAAGCGGTCGGTGAACACACCCATGTCACGGCGGCGGCCTCCACTCACCTGCCCTCGGAGCCGATGGACGCCACGTCCACGGTGTCGCGGTACCACGTGGCCTGAGGCTGGGGTCGACCTCGGGTCACGCAGCGCAGGGTCACCGTCCGGCCGAGGTCGCCCAGCGTCGCCGCCGGCAGCGGCGTGTCGATGTGCGGCCGTTCTGCGGACCGCGGCACGTCAGTAGCCGCGTCAAAAGACACCGGACGGCGAGCGGGAGGGCCGGGTTCGATCCTCGCGGCCGGAACATTTTGATGAGCCTGGTTTACACCTTGGTGAGGCGATGCTCATGGTATTTGAACATACGCACATCCATACACGAACCCAATGGTTGCTATCCCTGGGGTTGACGGGGGTTTGATGTCAAAGTGAGTGGAGGGCACGCGGAAAAAGTACAGCTACGTGGGGTAGCAATCATATAAATAATTAGTGGTGTAGCAGACAACACATTTGACAGATGGGCACAACGGATGATCGGCAACTTCTAAGGTCGCATCAATAAGCCTAAATCTGGAGCTTAAACTAGTGTAAGCTTAGTGAGATCGTATGGATCAGCCTACAGGCTGAAGGTCAAGCTATCGTATCTTATAGTGTATCGCACATGGCTCCAAATATATTACACGTAGACGTTGAAATAGCTCCTTAATGCAAGGCACCACTGCCTTCCACTCGAAAGACGTCGGGTATGCGACGCCGAACAGAGCACCCCCTCGCTAAATCCGACGCAGTATATGATATGCAACATACACAGCATAAAATCAAATCCAAACAACACCTTCCCACCACAACAGCGCTAAACCTCCCAGACCTCCCCCCCCCCCACACCCACTGACCCATCCCAAGAGCCCATTCACTCACCCAGCACTATGACCCTGGCCTGGGCGGTGACCTCTGGGAAGGTCGCCGACCGGAGGCGCGCGTGGCACGAGTACACGCCCGCGTGCTCCGCCCCCACCGCCAGCAGCGAGAGCGTGCGATTCCATAGGTCATCGAACGAGTACGCCACGCCCGCCTGGCCAATCGGCGCTTCGTCCTTGAACCACGTGGTCTCGAGGCTGTACAGCGGTCTGCCGGGCGGGACGAGCTGTTACCTTGGGGGAGGCGATCTGGGCAGGTGACGTCACCTTTGGTTACAATTATTCATTAGGTCAATGACATGTGGGATGATAAGTTTGGTGAAGTTTCGGTGGCCAGTGCTCGCCAGTGTGACCAGGGAAAATGTGTGAGATGTATCCGAATGTATGTCGTGCTACCATTTCCGCCATGGTTAAGTCTGAACTTGTTATATATGTCATAAGCCTGGAGCAACTGTATGTAAGGAAACGGTGGTTCGACACATCGGTGGAAGCCTACACAATTTTTCTTGAAGCACATCATGGCATTACCGTGGTGTCGCGCCCTGAATTCATCACCAAAATCACAAAATGTTGTCACAAGTATTGATATTACGTCTTACGATCTGGCCTAAGTCCTTCAGGTCTACCTATGCCGAGTCGAGTCGCATCGGGTCAAGTGAGGGCAATGTAATTCAATTCAATTCAATTCAATTCAATTCAAGTCAAGTCAACTCGAGTCAGCTGACGCCAAGTTCCAGTCAGACCCGTCCCACCACCTCAGACCACGCCGGTGTACCTGGCATTGGCCACGCAGTTCAACTTGGCGATATCCCCCTGCATGGCCTCGAGGTCAGCAGGCGGTACCACGATCTGGGGCGCCACCTCCTCCTCGCCGCCCGCGACCACTCGCAGTGTGGTGGCGCCACTGGCGCTCTCCGTGCCCAGCTGCGTGTTGGTGGCGTGCGCCCTGGGTTCAGGACAGGCGGCGGTCAAGACACGTACACTGTGGGCG